GCTAATAAAACCTTAAGCAACACAATTGCACCACACCACACCACACAACAACATCTCACCATACTTACCACACCACTCATTTTTAATTTTACTTATGTTTTCTTTAAACCAATAAAAAAAAAAAAAAAGTTTTCAAAGAGATATGAACCCTCGATCACCTGCATACTGACTGAAATCCATACCAACTCTGCTATGGACGTGTCCGATATAAGAAACTCGATTACTTCGTTTTATCGTACAGGTCGTTGCTTATTATTAATGTTAATTTGTATTTACTGTGTATAAATTCATTTGGTTTTACTATACATAAAATAAATAGATAATTTATTTAATGAAATATATTTTTTAGGTACATGTTTCAAAAATTTTGAAATTAGTATATATTAGCAGAGCAACTTTCATATTATGTAATAATAAACATTAACTTACTTATCGTTAATTTTTTACTTTTAAAATAAATAAATAATTGTTAACACAACTTTTTATATTTTTTCAAAATTTTTGAAAATTAAAAAAAAATTTTTTGTACTGTACAAATACAATAATTAATTTTTATTGTGTTTTATTCTTTTACAATTTTTTCATTCGTGATTAAAGTAGTTTTTTGACTTCAGGACGTTCTTCACATGGTTAATGAGGGAAAAGTGCAGATAAGTGAGAGGAACGCTAATGTGTGCAGTAAAGCTAGCAATTGTTTTTCTTATGTAGAAGTTCTCACATACATGCCTTACGCGCACTTTATACCGTCTTTCTAAATTTACTTGAAAATCAACTTGTGGGTCTACTTGACAATTCCATAGGTTTATCTAAAAGTAATATTTTGTACCTTAAAAATTGGGAGATTCCTACAAATCATATAAATGTCATATGACGTGATTTTTTCATGAGATTACATGTTAAATATCAATTTTTTTAAATGTAACATGTATAAAATAATGGCACAGTTCAACATAATGCAATTTTTGTAGGTATTTTTCATGCTATTTCAATAAACGTTTGCCTTTTGAATGATATCTGTCGAAAAACCTATATGTAATAAACGTCCTGAAGAGAAAATTACTGGCACTTAATACTACCTTATTGAAGAAAGCTATACTACATGATGGTTTTGCTTAATTTTCTGTTTACAATTATATTTTGGGTATTAAATATGGACGAGGAGTAAGTGTGGGATCGAATGTGATAGATGTGAGCCTAACGTTACAGATGTAATCAGCGAAGGCAGCTGGAAGTTGTTCTGGAATCATCGGAAGATTCGAAGAAAGCGAAGTCATGTACTGGCCAGCCTATATATTATTTTTATTGTATTATGCCATGACAAATTGTTTATAATCTTGAACTCATTAAATATTAATTAACATTATAGCCAATCAACGTAGGTATAATCTTTTCTACGATAATTGCACCATCTTTGTACACAATCATAGAAAGATTTTTATACGCAAAATTATATTGTTCATTATATAATTTTATAGAAGCATAACTTCATACTTGGGTACCCAAGCACCCACTGTCCACTGGTCCCAAGCAGCTGATCCTCATGAGCCCAATACATTGTGTGCGAGCTGATCCTCATGAACCCAATACATTGTCTGCGAGCACGCTGATTTTTTTATTGAAATAAAATTCCGCGCAGCTCATCCTTTGGAACCCGTCACAGTCACTACCAGCGCATTGATTTTTTTACTTAAATAAAGTCCCGAGCAGCTTATCCTTCATACTAAGACGCGGTTATTATCAGCATGGTAATTTTTTTACACAAAAACTTTCATGTAGCTAATCCCCAATATGATCTAAGGCGCTTTTTGCCAGCGCGTTTAATTTTTTAATCAAATAAAATCTTTAGCAGCTAATTCCTTATTACTTATCCCACTTTCTACCAGTGCGTTGATTTTTTCACTTAAAAAAATTCCAAGATGCTAATCCTTAATGACCCAACGCACTTTTCGTCAGCGCGTTTATTTTTTAAATTGAATTAAACCCCGAGCAGCTAATCCGTTGTTACCCAACGCGTTTTTTGCCAGCGCGTTAATTTTTTCAAAAAAATTAAATATTGAGGAGCTTATCCTTCACAACCAGATGCGCTTACTTCTAGCGCGCTTATTTTTTTACCAAAAATAAATCTTAAGCAGATAATTTTAAATAACTAAGTACGCTTACTACTAGCACGTTTAGTTCTTTAATTGAAGAAAATTCCGAGCAGCTAATTCTCAATAACCCGACGGGCTTATCACCGCCACAATTATTTTTCCACTAAAAAAGTTCCTAAGTAGCTAATCCTCAACATGACCTAACGCGCTTTTTGCGATTGCGTTGATTTTTTTATAAAATAAAATCCCAAGCAGCTAATTCCCAACAACCCGACACGTAAGTACAACTTATCCTAAAATTAGAAAAAAATTTAATCAATGAAAGCATACACAAGTCAAGGCTAAGCTTTCAACATATGTATATATAAATACTATTAACATAACTATTTTTAATAATTAACGCCAGTAAACATTCGTTTTAAGTGAGTTGTTTTTTTATTTATTTTAGTTTATTTCAATGAGGTATATGAAACATTGAAAAAATTATTTCTATACTGTTTGTATTTCTTTATTTTAATGCTACAAGAGGTGTTCTATGTGCCAACATATATTTTCAACCACCAGAGTAGTTCTACGTGTCAAGTTATTAAGTGCACGTTGAACACGACCTTTTTCTCATACCTTATCAAAGGCTCTGATAATGCGTTGTTGGCAGTCTTCTGCGCCGTTTATTGGTGTTTTGTACACGATCTCTTTGATATTACCCTATAAAAAGTAATTGTGTTATGGGCCAATTTATGGGACCATTCTGTCTAATCCAGGTATCTGGATAAGTTTGGTTCAGGTGTGCTTTGACATTGGCTGAAAAGTGTGGGGGTGCACCATCGTGTTGATAAATCATGTTCCTTCGAATCGCTTTAGGCACATCTTCCAGCAACCCAGACAACGTCTCTTGGAGAAACTCCAGATAACCTACTCAATTGAGTCGGGGTAACAGAAAAACTGGGCTGATCAATAAAACGTTTTTTACCAAGTATTTTTTTTTCTTATATGATTTGGTACTGTATTTAGAATCTCTATAGGATGCGTCCAAGCCAACTAGAACACGCGGCGTGCGCAGGATTTTATTCGCATCTAAAGCGTTTTTTTCATCTTGTTTACAACGGATGGTAAATAGTTAGAAAAAAAACGTAAAGACATGAATAGATAGATTTTGACCTGCTTTTTTAGATAGTACAGTCAGTTTATACGTAAAAATTCGATTTTCAACTTTACACTGTTTTTTCTCAAAGAATGTATTCTTTTTTTTTAACTTGCATGAGTCAAAAGCTTAAGTCTTCAACTAGGGACATGCAAATTTTTACATTCAGAGATGTAAAGCTTAACTAATGGCATGTACTTAAAGAAAGTGGGATGAAGTCTAGCGCAGGCACCTCAGAAAAAAATTTGGTACTTAAACAGCCTAGGTGATCGGACTGCTTGAGTTCAACTACATCTTTGAGGTATAACAGTCCTGAGCTCGACTTTATACCTCAAAGATGTAGTTGAACTCAAACAGTCCAATCACCTAGGCTGTTTAAGTACCAAATTTTTTTCTGTACATACGTATCTCGGTGAGTGCCGGGTGAGATACTGTTTCACACCTGGCTCATAGTCCAAGACAAGTAGCTAAAAAAATTAATGAAAATGCCCAAATTGACAGATTTCAACGTTTTCTTATTTATTTTGCAGGGAATTTTCAGTTAAAAAAAATTTTTTTAGACTTATGTTATCACAAGTTCAGAAAGTTTCCTACTTTGAATATTAAGCTATTATCCAATTTCAAAGAATTAAATAGAAAGAGTGTTTTTTTTTTTATATATTTAAAATGTAAGAAAATGTAGTTTAGTACCATTCATTAGAGTAAAAATAAATCATAACAATCCTTCGTATTATTTTCAAATAAATTTAAAGCCAAAAAACTAAGAAAATTGCAGCGCAGCAAGGGAGCGAGACAAGGTGAGCAAGACCCAATATTATATTAGATGGCGCTACTCCATCTGCTTTGTTTACAACCTGTCACGCTATATCTTTCGTTTTTACGAAAAAGATGTGTACTCTAAATGATTTGTATAGGGCTCTCTTACTTGACCTGTCTGTAGTAAGTCGGTGATTTTGTTAATATGATTGTCCCTCGTTCACTCTTTTCCAATACATCTAATGTTATATGCTTGCAGCCCTGCACTGTGTGTGCTTCCTGATAGTCGTTTTTAGTTTCCGAAAAATGAAGTATTACACGCGTCAAAAAAAATAAATTTTTTGATTTTCGCGACAAAAGCCAACCCTACAGCGAGCACTAAACTGTTACTTATATTGGTGAGAAAAGAGTGTATTATCGACCGATTCGTCTCAACTCTTTCGACCGACTCCTTTTAACTCTCTCGACTAACTGCCCTCTCAATTCTCAGCTCCTATCTCTTTATCTTCCCTGCTTTTCTATACTTTCGAGCCCTAAAGTAGTATGAGAACACGGACGCATAGCTATATGCTATCGTACGTAACAATATAAACCATGACAAAATATTCTACTGAAAAAAGACGATTCTTTTCTACTGTTTGCAAGTGGTCAAATTCAGAAACAATTTTTCAAAACCTTTCAATTTTTAAAAATTTAGTTATAAAAAATTATGGTATATAATTTTTACTCTGGGTTAAAGTAACAAATACGAAGAAATGTACTCAAAACAAGGTACTTAACTTTTCAAATTTGTTTGTAAAAAAAATAGTTTCAATTGTACCTGACCACATTGTACGACTGGCAAGAAGGATGTTTATGTATTGTAGAACATTGTGAATTAGAAACTAAAAAACAAACTAAAAACGAATTATTTGTCCCAGTACAAAACTGAATCTGTTCACACTACATATAATTTACGAAAAATCTATGAGTATTAAAAAAATGGTAACTTACAACTTTATTTATGTCATTTTGTTGTTCTTTTCTTGAATTTTGATGATTTTTTACGGCTTCAAGCATTTCATCAGTATTATTAAAATTTTCTTGCACCAAAAGATCAAGTGTTGTTTGTATTTTATGGCTAAAACATTTTTATATCATTTTATAATGTTGAAACAAAATATCGAATAATCATATTTAAAGCTCTTACTTGACTAATTCCTCAAAAGCTTTACTATCATTTGCATTAACGAATTTTAATAATGCGTCATTGAGACATGGCAGTGACAATACTGTTAGTTTATTTATTTTGTCATCTTGATTAAAATAATCAGTCATTCCACCGATAACTGTACGCTTCCAATCATTTTCACTCTGAAAATTTTTTTTTTTTAATTTTATAATAATATATCAAGCAATGACTAATTAATAAACTGATCAACCATTACATTATCAAACTTAAATATTTCACCAAATTCTTCTAAACCTCCAACTGTAGATTTAATATCCTTTTTTTTCAACTTCGAAGAGCATTTTTTAAACAAAATCATATCATTGGGGTTCGCTACTTCATTGTAATATTTTTGTGATAACCTGTAATTAAGATAAAGTAAATTAGCTTTTGAAGTTAACTCAAAACGTGATTATCCCTTGGGAGCTATACAAATAGAAAACATAATTTTAATTAATTTTAGGAACAGCAACAATCTGCAGTGATAGAAGAAACTTTCCTTATTGAGTTACAGCATGCAATCCAAACATTTGGAATGAAGGACAACATTGAGAAGCATTTAATTCTGGCCCCACTTCAGAACTTTTTTTATTTACATTAAATTACTTTAACTGGCTAATAGTTAACGGAAACACACATATAAAACTTGTCTACTGCAGAGAAAATTTTTCAGTTACCCATCAAGCCAAAAAACTTTTTTTTCAAAACCATAAGCAGACCAAGAACCAAAGAGGGACTAACAGATCTGACAGCTGTGTTCAGCTCATTATTTTGTGGATTCTGGTAAAACAATTTTATATAAATCTTATGAAAAAAGTCAAGATCAGAACCAGTTTCAATTATAAGTTGTGTAGGGTTAAGTATTAAAAATGATACCGCTAAATAACTTTTGAGTTCTTGAACAATCATATACTGCTGTGGATGCTCCTACTCGGTAACTGTTACAGATTCCATCACCAAAAAAACAAACATTAGGTTTAACTTATATTTCCATACATTTTTTTATGGGAAGTCGACCCATATCACCAGAATGTTAGCAGAATAATACACCTGTTTTATGGCTGTTTATTAATCTTCCAAGATTAATTGAATCACTATTTTCCGACATCTTAACCCGAACCCTAGCGAGTCTTTCTTAGTCAACAGGTTGATCAGCCACTCTTGTGCGAAATCGGGCTCTTTAACAAAGGCCACACTTATATTTGATTGACTGATCAAAAACCTAGTGATTGTCTATACTTTTTTTTTTTGTAAGCTTTTGGATCATATTCAACAGATCATGACGTACAAGATTTAGAAACACACGATTAAAGAATGCTAGTGATAAACATGAGATTACAACTTTAAAAACAAAATTTATTTAGTTTCAGTTCTCGGAAGTAAGAATTATGGTGAGTTTAAACAAAAGTGATTGGCACATAGTTGTTTTTCAATAGAATTGGCAGTCAAAATATTTGTTAAAATTTATATGCTGAGCTCCAGGTAGGTCAGAAAATGGATAATTTGATGAATCAGCCTACTTACAGAGTGGAATTTAATTGTTTCAAAAAAATAATAGGTGACTTAACTCACTGTTTCTTCAAAAAGGTGGGTTAGGGTGCTTGTTGTCTGCTAACGGTAGATTTTAGAAGTGTGATGGGTTAAAAGGTAGACAATTTGGTGAGTAAGCACGATTGTAGAGTTTTATTGTTTCATAGATAATAAGAAATTTAATCTATGGTTTCATGGGAGAGATTTTTATTTATTTATTTATTCATTTATTCAAGAAACCAACAGGCCAATGCCCTTTACGAAGCATAATGTAATGAAAAAAATGCAAACATACCAGCACTATAAGAAAATTTTTAGGATGTTAAAAAGTCCAACACTAAAGGCTTAAAGATAAATATAATTAGTTTCCACTAGCTCACTAGGAAGTTAATTCAACACCCTTCATAAGCGAGGAATAATGGAGTAATGAGTGTAGTTGCGCGTTGTATACGATTCAAAGATCGGTCTTTGGTTCCTAGCTGAGTCGGATTTTATTCATGGAGCAAATAATGCTACTACTGAGTTACATTGCACAATAACCATTTAATATTCTATGTACGAGACAGTAATCGTTAAATAAGTGTAGCAGATCGATATCTACCACCCAAATTTCAATTCTATCTGAGTATAATCATGATCTAACGTAGAGAAAGACCTGTCAGACTTAACTACCAAAAATCTTAGAAATATCTGCTGAATCTTATTTAACTCCTAAATAGACTGATGTGTAGAGGGCCACCATACCTGGGATCCATAAAGGAATGCAGGCATAACCAATGACTTGTGCACGTATATAACAGATTACAAATTAGTAAAATCACTGCACCTCCTTTTGAGAAATCCCAGCATGCGATGAGTTTTCAACATCACCCTCTAAATATTCTTGATAAACGTAAAAAAAGATTAAAAAATAACACTAAGGTCACTAACATACGTGACTCTATTAACAATAATATCTCCCATTGCACATAATACGCTGGCAAGACCTCGTAAATGTTATAGTACAACACTTCTGCTTATTACAAGAAAGCTTATTTATCTCACGCTAGTTACAGAACCTGTCTATAACAGCTTGCAAGGCTGCGCAATCATCTTCCTTTGGACTATCCTAATAGTTTTTCAATCATCTGCGAATAACAATAATTTCGATGAAAAATAATCTTTTAAAACATTAATATTAACAAGAAGTAGCAGGGGGCCAGGGTAAGAGCCCTGGGGTACCACTGATCCAAGATTAACTAAACGCGGCAAACAATAACCCAGTTTAACAGCTTAAATACGGTCACTAAGGTAAGAGCGCAGTAAGGTCAACAATGAACCACTTGGACCGATCCGATAAAGCTTCAATATTAAAATACTGTGGTCGATAAAATAAAAAACTTTTGAAATATCGAAGTACACCAAATCAAGCTGGCAATCGATTTATAACGCCTCAAAGATCGAGTTACTATAGATCATTAGGTTTGTAACTGAGGATCTGCCCCGTATAAAACCATGCTGCTCATCAGCTGAGATATCTGCTAAATAAGAACTCAATTTACAGAGGTTCGGGAGTAATAATAAAATGCAGAGATCACAATAATATTGTGTTTTCTTGATAGTTTAGAATACGAAGAACTAATATGAATTTTTTCAACACTTGTTATAGGTAATTTTTAAAAGAATTGTACCAACGAAAATCATGTGATTAACATAGGCTCTTGTGGAAAGTAACCTCTTTGTCTCGCTTAAATGGACAAAACTTTTTGAAAAATGCAAAGGTGTTGAAAAAAATCTACCTAAAAGTAATTATTATTTAATTATTCGGTGAGCAAAATTTCGAGGCATGTTATAGTGCATTTTAAACAATGCAAACGTTAAACGTAAGGAAAATATTGAGTTTGTGGGGTGCAAGAGGGGGTGCGCGGTAAAGGGGACCAAGCTGAGCGGGCAGAGGGGACTTCCCCTTCCTCGCCCCTTTGAATGATACTCCCGAACCTTCTTAAGTGCAACAATACTATCAAACAATTGGGCGACAATCCCCAGAGCAGGAATAGGCCTGCAATTCAGTGCAATAGACTTATTGCCTTTGTTTTTACAAACAAGTATAACAAACGATGATTTCCATTCTGGGCACATGTAACTCTGAGACAGTAATCAAGTAAATAATAGTGACAGTGGTAACGACAATGCTAAAGTACAATTTTTGTATGAAGATTTCAGTACGACCATCAAAACCTCAATTAGCTTCCTGTTTTAATCTGCAAATAGCAGTCTCAACACCTGCAATAGTCTACTCAATGGCATTAAGACGCCCCACAGTGGAATATTATGGTTTTTTTTTCAAATTAAAATATCTCGTAAGCGCCAATCGATAAAAAAATTCTACCCTCCAAACATTCCTCGAACAAATTATTTTTTCTCTGAAATCTAATATTTCTTAAAATACTTTTTGTTACTCGAAAGTTTAATTCTTATAAATGACCGTAGACCATTCAATTTAGACAAATATATTATTTACTACCAATAAAACACTTGCATTCATAACACATAACCTGTTACCGTCCGGGGTATAATTTTATTTATTATTAATTATTAGAATAATTATTATTCTTTAAATTCAATCGTTTTACATGAATTTAATTTTTAAATATCGCGCGTAGCTCTGATTTAAGAACTTTGAGCTTTATAGTAACACCTACCGCGCGCTACGTGGTAACTACTAGTTTCTGGCAAACATCGAAAGTAAGAAGGTTGTTTATGTATTCTTATAATACATAAGAAGGGCTGCGTGACTTCTCGAACTCATCCTTTCGGATTACACGATCTTAGCCAAAGCTAGGCTCTCGCTCACTCGACGAGACCTATACTAAGGCAGTGGCTAGAGCACCAGTTAATTTGAATAAAATACCCATGTTTAATGCCACATTAAACTCGATGTATGAACTCTTACTCTACCCTTTTCTCACCATCATTATCCACACTACGAGGCACTGTTGTCCAACTACTGGAAGAATCGGAAAAACAATCGAGGCTCTTTTGCGCTAGTAATCGCATCTCATGCCAACGGATTCGTCTCGACCACTGTGAGTCACTGCTCAACCATTCACTAGCGACACTATCTCCAGAGGTGGCATCGAAACCCAGCAGAAGCACTACCTCTCCACGCCTGTAGTCTCCAGCATTGGATGTTTACTGCTGCTCGATCCTGACTCCCAAACTACCCAACAGCGACACCAACTTCAGCTGTTGTATTGGAATCCAGCAGAAGCACTACCTCACTACGCCTAGAGTCTCCAATCCAGGATTCTCTCCGTGGATTCATCTCTACGGCCCATTCGACTCCCTGGGAGAGGATTCTCGTTCACCCCGACTCCCTTTCGTTGTCCTAAGCCGCCCACCCCAATAGACCGATTATAACAAATTTTAAGAAGTAGGAAAAGCATGAAAAGAGATAAAATTATATTATTTTCCATTCCAGTAGTGTACCTTTGGTTTCGCGGGTAAGAAAAGTTTGAAATATATGTTTTAGAGGTGAGTGATCTGGAATTCAAGGTCATATTTTTGAAATTTAAAATTGTGGACCTACTATGGCAGGGAAATCTGGAAAAATACGTTTTAATTTCGTAAGAACTTGTACACCAGGATTCTCGAGGTCACTGATTTTGAATTTAAAGTCAAATTTTTTTAATTCAGAATGGCGTATCCAGTATGGCGGACATGTCTAAAAAACTATTTTTTCAGTGAAAGATTTCAATTTTTTTTTTTTAATCAAATACTTAACAAATCTTATTGGAGCATAAAGGTCAATTAATAATCGTTTTTTCACTTGGAAACGATTACTCTTAATTGT